CCGTTCGCGCGGCCGCGGCCGCGCGCGCGCGCCCGAGGCACGCAGTGGGGGCCACCCCCCCGACACGGGCCCCCGCCAGGAGGGCAAGGGTGAGAAGCCGCCTAGGCCTCGCAGGGGGAGGGGCGGGGGCCGAAAGGGGCCGAGAAAAAAAAGGGTGCCCAGGAGTTTCGGGGCAGAGGGAAGGAAGAGGGAGAGGCCACATGGGGGTGGCAAAGCGGGGCGGGGGGAGGGGGCTCATTAAAGGCCTGGGGAGGAAGGGAGTCCACCCCCATGAGGCCTTCACGCGGGCGGCGGCCCAGGTCACGCCTGGACCGTGTCCTCCCCCCCCTCTCCATTGAGGGGGCGTTCGTGATGGTGTCGGCGGCCGCCTTGATCCCTACGGTCATCTTGCCGCGGTAGGCGTCCGCCTCGAAGCTCTTGGGCCCTGTTACGGCCAGCTCGGGTCGTCGGATCTGCAGGCTGCAGTCCGACCTCCAGGGAGCAGGCTGCTCAAGACGGAGTCGACGAAATCGTCGAGTGGGCTGCTGTGCTCGTGGGAGGTGCCGTCGTAAATGGCGTAGAGGTTGCTGGTGGAGTCAATCCTGGTCGGTCTTCTCGTGGCAGTTCTCTCCGTAGCGTAGTGCATCTGCTCGGTCGTCCACATCAGCGACGGACCCGCTGGGGCTGCGGATTGCGCTAGTAGTACAGGTACTTCTGCAATGTGGGCGGCATGGAAGATGTGGATGGCTAGGCGGGCATGGTGGTTCGCGATCAGTCGACGTTCCGCTGCCTTGCCTCCAAGGTTTACTCTTCCCCATGGGTCCGAGGTTGTTCTGGAGGATGCTGCCGTTCTGTCGTGGATGTCGCCATCACCTTGGTCGATCCAAGTGCTGGGTGAGAGGTTGATCGTAACTCCTGCGAAGTCACCCTGTCGAATGTGCTGGTGGATCAAGTCAAGGGCGTCGTACTGGGATGGGTGTTCGGCGGAGTAGAGATCGTCGAAGGTCATCGTAGCCAGTTCCATAACCATTCCATTGTAGCATAGTCGTTGGTCCGTGATGTCGAGCAGATCATTCGGGTGTCTATCGGTGTTGGTGAGGTAAAGCAGGGATCTGTTTCTGGTCGGTGTCCGAGGGTAGTGGGCTGGTGGTGGTGGTGTAAGTTCTGCTACAGTCGGGAAAAAGGGCGGTGGTGAAGGTGATAGGTCAAGGGAGGGTAATGGGGTGACGTCGGATGCGTGGGCAGGGATGGGATGGTATAGTTCGGGGCGGCCTCTGCGTTTGTTGTCGGCTATGCTGGCCGCGTAGATCGCCTGATTGGTGGCCACGTCCTCCTCAGTGAGGGCAGGTCCTTGTAAATACCACATATACCATGACCGTCGGCATCGGGCTACCGTGGTTAGATGCTTCACTAGCTTGGCGAAGGAGTGGAAGTTCTGGCGGCATATTCTGCACGATGTACCCGATGCCCAGTTTCGCGGATGATCAGGTCGTCGGTGTTCCCGTCCGATATGTATTGCCATGCCCTGCTTTGTCTTGGTTACTATTCCGCACTCGTAGCAAATGAAGTTGCTGTCGCCGTTGTCACGTGATGGCGTGGTGCCCGCCCCGATGGGGCCGTCTGGTCTGAGCACCTTGGTCAGCTTGTCGGCGTGGGCACTGTCTTTAGAGGCGCGGATGTAGTTTGTGACAGCCAGGTTGACGGAGTTGGTGAAGTGCCTCGGCGTGGTGCGAGCCCATGCGATGATGTCGGGGTCGAGCTTGCTGGTCGTGGGCCAGCGCTGGTCGTCCAGGTATGTGCGCAGGAAGTCGAAGTCCTGGAAAAGCATGTATGTCCATGAGCCCTTTCTCCGTCGCTGGTTGTCAAGCAGTTGTAGGAGCTGCTGAGGAGCGTGTCGTAGAAGCCGTGGTAAGTATCGCAGCCGTCCAGCAGACTGGTGGTGGTCGAAGTCGGGGATGCCGGTGTAGGCTACTACTTCGGTGGCCGTGAAATGATGAAGCTGCGAGTTAACTTTGGGTAATCCAGCTGCCGTGCGATAGGGCTTCGAGTAGGCGTTGGATATGCGCTGGTGGTCAGTCTGAGTCAGTGCTGGCCAGACGTGATGGTTGAAGGTCAATGAGGCAGTCGAGAGGGCGTGCACGTACTTGATCTTCGTTTTGCGGGGTAGGCGTCGACGTCTTAGGATTTGCCTCTCCAGAGCTCGTGCCGAAGCGTCGGTTCGTTGCATGCGATTCTGCACCTCGGGGCCCATGCTGCCGTTGGTTATGATGGTGCCTAATAGTCGGTGCTGGTCTGTGATTTGGACCGAGATCGACATGATGCTCAACTTGATTGATGTAATGTTTTGCTGTGCAAGCCTGCTGCGCACGACGTTGGAGCCCGTCCCGTTAAAGGAGATGATGACCTTGGTCTTGTCTGGGTGTGGCTTGAGCCCGTATGTAAAGGCTGTACGGCATAGACGTTCAGCTGAAGTTCTCGTAATGTCAATGATGTCGGAGTGGTGTGTGGTCGAGTTGAAGTCGGTGAGGTCGTCGACGAAGGACATGTTGGTCAGCTTGCCGCCTTGGTGAGGGGCCGTAGA